TATTTTGCTGAGGATTTTTGCCTCAATCCTTATAAGGAATATTGGCACTTATTTTTATTTTTAAAAAAGTTTATATCACATTTTATTTTCTTCATTGTACTTAGTATACATTTTACATATACTCAAATGTATGTAAGATATATTTATAAATTAATATTTAGTATATTTTTGAAAATATATGTATGAATACCCACTGTCTTATTTTCGGGGAAACATGGTAGCAATCTTTTGGTGCACAGGATGACACTCAGCTAACCAAACCACACAGGCCAGGACTATTTTAATTATTTTTTAAATAAACAGTTCTCTAAATGCAGTACAGAAAAGCCATCTTGTCCATTCACAAACAAACACTCCACTCATTGTATTCTGCAAGTATCATGTATATGAATACTAGAGGCTTGGTTCACAAAATTCGTGCATGCGCAGAGAATCCCTCAGCCCAGCCTGTACCCTCTCCAATCTGGGACTCTGAGGATCAGGCCCAAACCAGCAGTTAGACATCCTCTCACAATCCGGAACCACTGACTTCTAACTGCTCATCTGCCTGCCTGCCTGCTCACCCCTAACAGCCCCCCACCCCCACCGACCTGGTCACCCCATGCAGCCTGTTGTTCAGTCATTTGGTCGTCCCTCACTAACCCCCCTGCCAGCCTGGTCGCTCCACACAGCCTGCTGTTCAGTCATCCCCTCATCCGTTTAGTTGTTTTGGTCATGATGGCCCCTGGCTTTTTATATATTAGGATAACATGTGCTTAAACATTTCTCTGAATATAACGACAAAGAGCATATTCACACTATTTATTATTGTCTTTTATATAATAGTGTAAATGTAAGGACATACAAACTTGTAGAAAAAATTTAAGAGTTTATGAAAGCCAAAGGATATGCCTGGAAGCAAGATCTCACAGACAGAGAAAAAAGCTTTTCCTCTTGTTGCCTGTGCTTTTGGAATGATAGCCAAGAAATCATTGCCAAATCCAATGTCATGACATTTCCCCCCTGTTTCCTTCTAGAAATTTTATTGTTTTTATTGTCACATTGAGCTCTTTGACCCATTTTGAGTTAATTTTTGTATATGGTTTTAGGTTATGGGCCTAACTATGTTTAATTTTCACCTGACTGTAAGTTTTTCTTGATTTTTTTATTTTTATGTTTTAATGTTTTTATTGATGAGAGAAAGGGAGAGAGAGAAATATCAATCATTTTAGTTGCCTCTCATACCAACTGGGACTGAACCTGCAACGTGGGCATATGCCCTGACCAGGACTCTAATCAGCAACCTTCTGGTGCACATAAAAACATTCAACCAACCCACACCAGCCAGGGCAGTTTTGTTGATTTTTTTTAGAGAGAGGAAGAGGAGAAGTAAGGGAGACACAGAGAGAGAAAGAGGGGAAGGGAGAGGGAGAAATTGGGGATGGAACCCACAACCTGGTATGTGCCCTGACCAGGATTTGAACTTGCAACCTTCTGGTGTACCAGAGTATGCCCCAATCAACTAAACCACCTGGCTAGAATGGATCTAATGATATTTAGCAACATTCACTGAAAAGAGTATCCTTTCCACAATAATGTTTGTGCCTTGTTTTGTAATAACAACTAAGTCAAAACACTTTAATTTGTTTTCTAAACAGAATATCTACAGACTTGATTTTGCCCCAAAGGTCAGTAATTTACAGTAGTGCCTTCACTTCATTTTCACATTAGATTTTCTAAATGAGCTAAGGCGAGTGAGAGATATCTAGTGATGCCTATCAGGAGCCAAGCAAGGCACCAGGTGCTGGGGATCAATTGGTAAAAAAAAAAAGTTAAAGTCCTAGCGTTGAAGAGTTTAAAGCTCAGTGAGACTTGAGAAAATATCGTTTTATTTTAGTATTATGGGAATAAATAAAAGGACTACCTAAGTGGAGAGTAAGTTATGAACAGAGGATTAGCCCTGGCAAGGTACCTCAGTTGGTTAGAGCAAAGATCAGATACACCAAGGTTGTGGTCCATCCCTGGTCAGGGTACAGACAACCACCAACCAATGCATGAATGAATAAATGGAACAAACCAATATTTCTCTTTTCCCCTTCCTCCCTTCCTCTCTCTTTCTAAAATCAATAAATAAAAAAATAAAAATATTAGAAAGAACTTGAAATAATGGACGGGAGGGATAAAAGGGGGGAGGGGGAGGGGGAAAGGAGGTAAAAATGGGAAGAGAAAACAAAAATTGCATGCAATGGCGAGGGCGGCAGCCAGCCTCTCCCACTGCGCGGCTTTCCAGGCCGGAAACCTTCACCTGCGTCTGACGTCATACGACTGCGCCCAGTGGACGGGGGGCGGGATTTCCGGCCGTGGGTCAAGGGTCAGTGACGGTTCCTGCGCGAACTGAGACGCGAGCTGCGGGACCGGTGTGGCGTGTTCGGTGCGCGTGCTCTGTGGTCCCCGCGGCTTCACCGGCGGAGCCACTGTCCCTGCAATTCTGGTATGGGCGTCTGTGGTCATCTGAGAGAGAGGGAGTGTGTGTGAGAGTGTGTGTGTGTGTATGGGGGAGGGAGGACGCGGGGGACCTTCAAAGATAAGACTTAGCGGAGCATGTGCGCTCAGAAGGCCACAGTTCAGAGGAAGCCCATGTTGATGCATAATGTGTGACGTATTTTCATTTTGAATTTTTGGAAACTTTAGCTGTGCTGTCAACTTTGGGGAAAGTGTCCAAGTGGTTTCGTGCTGGGTTGGCATTGTACAGAAACTTACTGCCATATTGGTCTTGAAATGTTACATTTCTTCATTTGTACAGGGGTAATGCGCTGTATTAAATACGTAAGGTCTTATCTACATGGGTTTGATTGCAGAAACTAAAAAAGTATTCTCTAAGAAAGTGTAAATACTACAATATCTGGAACAAGAACAGTGTTTCCCAAAATAATACCCTTTTCCACTTTTTTATATTTTTGGTTTTCATTTCTATGCTATCCCAAAAATCTTTAATTACAGAGACAAAAATTCAAAAAACTTTTTTTCTGAAATCATTGTTTCTCATATTGAGGCTGAGGACTCCAGTTAAATATTCCAAGGAGCCTAAAATAATTTTTTTTTCTTTAAAAGTTGTCTGAATCACCCTAGCCTGTTTGTCCCCATGGAGAGAGCATCAGCCTTCGGACCAAAGTTCAGTTCCAGTCAAGGGCATGTACTTTGTTGCATGCCGGATCCCCAGCCCTAATTGGGTAGCATCGGGGAAGCAATCAACCCATGTATGTCTCTCACATCGGTATTTCTCTGTCTCTCCCTCACCCCTTAAAAAAGAGAAAATAAAATGGGGTAGAAGAGAAGTGAATGGATTCAAAAAGTATTTAGAAAGTAAAATGAATGTAACTCAAATGGATATGATATGCTGTGTGTAAGAGGACAAGAAGGAATGACTCCAAGTTTCTGGCTTCAGCAAGTAAATGGATAGCAGTATCCCTCCTAGAAACAATGCCGAGGGAGCAGCAGATTGGGAAGGCAAAGTAGAGAGATTATTTCGATTTGTTGCATTTGAGGTGTCTTCTGATTCATGGTGATTGAAGCCATAGAGATAAATCCAACCCCTTAGAGAAAATGTTTAGATCGAAAAACAAGGCTAAGGACAGAACTCAGAGGCACATCCACCTTTATTTATTTTTTTAATATATAGGTGTAATTTTCATTCATTCTCACCAGATGGCTATTGTAGCACATCCACCTTTAGAGGGGCTAGAGGATGGGGCATCTGAGCATCAGTGCATAGGTCAGAGGAAGGAGACTCAGGAGCATACAGAGTCACTAAAGGAAGAAAATTTTCTGTTCAAGTATTTTAGTTGCATTTTGTAAAAAGTTGAATTAATCCCCCCCCCCCCTCACCCCTTCAAAACTGGCACTAGTTTCACATCTATAAGGGTTTTCATTGTCTTGTGGACATCCAGACCTGTAGGATAAACTGTGGAGCTTATATACTTTTTCCTTCATTTTGGAAATTCTGTTTGGCAATAATATTATTTGCTGCAAAATAAAGTCTGAATTAGGGAAAGATTTATTTTAAAATGAGTAGATCTTTTTATTTATTTTTTTTTTTAAATCAATCTTTATTGTTCATATTGTTACAAAGGTTCCTCCTTTCTTCCCCCCTCCACCAGGTTCCCACCCCACCCTCCGCCCCCTCCCCATCCCCCATTGTCCTCATCCATAGGTGCACAGTTTATGTTCAGTCTCTTCCCTCCCTTTCCCCGATAGTAAATCCCTTTTCAGATAGTAAATCAGTTACTTAGCATTTTCTCATATCAATAATACCTCCACATGCCCAATGATACACTTCACACAAAAGACATTTCCCAATAGGTCCACCAGCCTCATCCAGGCCCCACCCAAGGCACTCACAGATCAACACCCCAGCCCTATACTAACTCCACACATCCAGATCTAAGCCTTCATCACTTGATTCAGCAGACCCTCAAGTTCCCGCGAAAGTTTCCAGCGATCTCTTTATTTCTATTTGATAATGTGAGAGTCTTGGTACAGAAGCTCCCAAGTGCTTTTTTTTTTTTTTTACCAGTTGTCATATTCTGTAACTTTTCAGCTTTGGTACATTGCTTATGGTACGGATCTTGTTTTTGGGTCTGTTCAGGGAGGGTGTAGTATAGAAGGGAGAAGAATACAACATCATGACTTTAGCCACCTCAGTATATAACTGTTCTGTAGTAGTATTGATTTTTCTGGGCCCTGAAGGAACTCAAAGTATCCTTTTGCCTAAAGCAATAGTGAAATTCATGTCTAAAATAAGAACCCAAATAAGTTTTACACTTTTACCTAGTGAGTAATCATAGGTTCTAGGCCACAGGAGTCTCGGAAAAATTAATGGTGCAGCAAATAAAGTTGTACTCAGATTCCACTTTGTTTTTTCAGAAATTGATTGCATTTAAATGTCTCAAATTTATACTTGTAGAGTTTTTTAATCTTTAACTTTTCATTACATTTTTCTTCTTTTATAGGGTTTTTCTTATATGCCTGTTTTCCTCAAAATGAGTATTGGTATCACCTTCATAAGACCTTTTGCCAGAGTTTTGGTGCCATTTACCCTTAATAGGAAGAGAAGGGTTTTATATTCAACGATTCTACAGAGATACCTGTCTTCCAAAATACCAGCTGAATCTTATCCTAAAAGGGAAAACACATCATCTGAACAGCTGGAATTGGATGGGTGGAAAATTACAATGAAATCTAGTGTGCAAGAAGGTGTTTCAACAGTCTCAAGTGCCAAAGATGAAGATCCTGTAGCTGCCACTAGGGAATTAATTGAGATGTGGAGATTGCTTGGCAGAGAAGTACCAGAACACATCAGTGAAGAAGAACTCAAAACCATTATGGAATGTGATTCTAAATCATCGAAAAAAAAATATTTAAAATATTTATATGTTAAGGAGAAAAAGAAGAAAGCCAATCAAATAAAAAAGGAAATGAAAGCAGCAGCAAGGGAAAAAGCAATACAAGACCAGTTGCTAGAAACCGCTAACCAAGATAAACAGCAAGACTTTCCATTTCTACGACTCTGGGATAGGAATATGGACATAGCAATGGGCTGGAAGGGTGCCCAGGCCATGCAGTTTGGACAACCTTTGGTTTTTGACATGGCTTATGATGATTATATGAATCCAAAAGAACTGCAGTATGCTGTTTCTCAACTTCTAGAAAGTGAAGGATGGAACAGAAGAGATGTTGATCCTTTCCACATTTATTTCTGCAATCTTAAACCAGAGAGCCCTTTTCTTAGAGAGTTAATTAAACGATATGGAGAAAAATGGAACAAATTGTTTCTAACAGCAACAGAAAAGTCTCATGTAGATTTATTTCCAAAGGACAATATTATATATTTAACTGCAGATTCTCCCAATATTATGACTTCTTTCAGACATGACAAAATTTATATAGTGGGATCTTTTGTTGATAAGAATATCCATCCAGGTGCATCCTTAGCCAAGGCAAAACGGCTAAAGCTGGCAACAGAATGCTTTCCATTAGATAAATATTTACACTGGGACACTGGTACAAAAAATCTCACCATAGATCAAGTAACACGTATTTTGTTATGTCTGAAAAACACCGGGAGTTGGGAAGAGGCTCTGAAGTTTGTTCCTAAGAGAAAACATTCTGGTTATCTGGATTTTTCTCAACACACTCAAGAATTTGTCAACAGAATGAAGAAGTCAAAGACTATTAATTCATTTCCAAAAGGCTCTCTAAATAGATACACACAGAAAAAGTGACTTGAAAGAGAAGTATTCGATAAGTAAATAGGTTGGAAATGTTTTGTTTCTTCCTGAAATGGAATTCACTTGCTCTTTAAAGAGTCGTCTTTACAAACTAACAAGTATTGTATCTTTCCCCAAATTATTAAATATCTGCAAACTTTGGAAATATATTTTGTTTACATAAAAAAAGAGCTTTAGAAAGTAAAAAGAGTTGTCTAAGTTTGTTAAGCCCAGTAAAATAGTTGTATCATTGGTGTGGCTTTTTTATGAATACATGCGTCTCAAACTCCATTTTCCTTCTTAAATGTTCTTTTAGCTATTAAAAGGGAAACCAGGGTGGTTGGTGGGAGGACCAGGCTGGCTGTCAGTCCCTTGGGATCTCCAGCTCAACCCTGGCTGCTCTGGGGCTCAGGCCGGCAGGAAAGGGGGTTCTTGCTACTTCACCTCCATGCACATGTGGCTGGTTGGGGGCTCAGGCCAGTGGGCAAGGGGCATTGGCGACTTCATCTCTATGGGCGTGGGCCAGGCCAGCTGCTGATGGAACACACTGCTCACTTGGGGCTGCTCATGGGCATACAGGGCTGACAAGCTACGGGTGCGTCTGCAGCCTACAAAGCTTGTGGTAGAGGCAGCTTGGCCTGGGGACTGGTGAATGGGCAAAAGATGGCCCTAATCACAGGCTAGGCATAAGGACCCTATCATGATTTTGTGTGCTGGGCCTCTATAAAATGTCGGATGGTAACAAGTGGTAGTAGTTTCTCTTCCACTCCTTCCCTCCCTCTAAATCAATAGGAACATATCCCTGAGTGAGGATTGGGGGGGGGGGGGGCGCGGTATCTATAAATAAATACGTAATTTCACATTAAAAAGTCTCATGTTTGTCTCTAAAAGAGTCTCAATGGGGGGATGAGGACAATTATGTGATACCATAATCAAAAAATAATAAAAGTGTCTTCATGATTGTGAAAATCACATCTGGGGAAGATAAAACAAACATGAATTAATTACCTGCTCTCTCTAAAATATTTTGCTGGGCACATTTACATATACTATCACAAATGAGGGACCGGGACTTCAAATCACCAAACCCCCCTGCTTTTGTCAGGAGACATACTTTCTCCATTCTCTAGACTTGGAACCTGAGGAGTCATCCATCCACAAACACTGAGCACCGTTCATGTATGAAATGCACAGTACAAAGTGCTGTGAAGAAGAAAATAATGGTCTCTGTTGGGGGGAATAAAGGTCTTCGTTGCTGAAACCGGTTTGGCTCAGTGGATAGAGTGTCGGCCTGCAGACTGAAAAGGTCCCGGGTTCAATTCCTGTCAAGGGCATGTATAATACTTTGGTTGCAGGCACAGCCCCGGTGGGGGTGTGCAGGAGGCAGCCGGTCAATGTATCTCTCATCGATGTTTCTAGCTTTCTATCCCTCTCCCTTCCTCTCTGTAAAATAGCAATAAAATGTATTTAAAAAAAAAAAAAAAAAAAGTCTTCATTGTCAACTTTTGAGCCATGAAGGGAAACCACTTTTTTTTTTAAACATGTACTACAGGATAAAGTTACCAAACAATGCTATATAGAAATCATCCACTTGGTCCTCATGACCACCCTTTGAGGAGACACTATTATTTCTATTTTTCAGAAAAGGACATGTAGGTCCTGTTGACAGTAAGAAACCCTCAATATTTACTCAGCCAATAAAGGATAGATTAGGGTATTCAAAACCAAGTTCTGGCTCCTTAAGACCAGTTTCTGTCATACTATATTACTGGGCAAACCCAGCAACTCCAATTCCTTAGGCAAGGAATAAACCTTGTATAATAAAGTATAATAAAGGGAAAATGAGGCTGAAAAGTTAGACTGGGTCCCAATTATAACGCTTGGACTTCATTCTGCAACACTCAGGCAGAAATTACTGCAGTCCCCACTTAAAAAAGTAACTTCTGTTAACGATACAGCAACTGCAGCCTTTAGAAACAGTTTTACCACCTGGCTACCGTGTCCTTGCACAAATTACTCTTTGGCCTCAACTCACAATAGAGATAATTCCGGAGTGAGGAGGGATGGGAATGGTGGGGGGGATGAGGACAAATATGTGATACCTTAATTCAGGTAACCAAACGTCCCGATTTTTAACAATTTGTCCCGCTTCCTGCGGCGTTTTAAAAAAAAAGTCCTGATTTTATCTTTCCAAAAATCGGGACTTTTTCCTTTTTTTTTTTTACACCAACCAACTTACATGGTTACTCTTCCCAAAAATCGGGACTTTTTTAAAACGCCGCGGGAAGCGGAACAGATTGTTTAAAATCGGGATGCCTGGACACCTTAACCTTAATCAATAAAGAAATTTAAAAAACAACAACAAAAGATAATTGGGAACTGACCTCTCCTGGGGAGTCAACGAAATAATGTCTAACACAAGAGGGCGCTCAATAAACGCTCATTTCCCTCTTAAGTCGCGAAAAATAAGGCCCTACATTTTTTTTTCTTGGAGTAGCAACACCAAAACGAGAGCCAGCTAGCTTAAGCTGCAACCGCACCCCGGTCTGCAGAAACCTTACTGGATTCCACCAACGCCCCCGGGTGATGCGCCCCCTCCCCTCACTTGTCCGGACCGTGAAGACCAGCCCGACGTCCAGTCAAAAGCCCGCACCCGCCCTCACAGAGGCCGCCCGCCTTCCCAGTCCTCACAGGGGCCGCCCCGCCCCGCCCCGCCTCCCCTCTCTCCTTCCGGGGCCGCCGGGCTACCAAGTCGCCTGCAGTTCCGTTTTCCCTCTCCCGGGCCGCTCTAGGCCGCCGCCCCGCCCGCGGCGCCGCATCTCCATGGTTACTGGGCGGGGCCGTGACGTCCTTGGCGTGGCTGCAGGGAGGCCGCGGCGGGGAAGATGGCGGACGGGAAGGCGGGAGAGGAGAAGCCGGAGAAGCCGCAGCGAGCTGGAGCCGCCGGAGGTGAACACAACCCCAGCGTCGCGGGCCGAGCGGGAAGCTCTGGGTCTTTCTTTGGGCTCCCGGGGCGGGGGGCGGAGGGCGCGGCGAGAAAGGGCGGACCTGGCGCTCACCCGGCCAGGTGCTGGGCCCAGACGAACCCTGGGCCCGCCCGGCGCGGCCCGCGGGGATCCATCCGGGCCCGCATCCGCTCCTTGATGGGGGGGATAGCCGGCCCCAGGAGGCCCCGCCTCCGAGGAGAAGGGAGAGGGGCACCCAGAAGGGGAACAGCTCGGGCGGGACCCGGCGCGGCGGTGCCGGGGGAGATGCGCATCGCCCAGAGCACAGGCGCGCTCCGCGGGGGCCTCCGCCGCGGCCCAGGGCCGGCCGCTCGCCAGGTTTCCGCCCGGGCCGCCCTCTCGGTTACACCTGGCGGGGAGCCTGTGCTTTGCGCTGGGGAGGTGTGTGGGGGGCGGGAAGGGACCCCGGCCTTTCCTCTCTTCCTTTGATTTCGAAGCCGAAGGCGGACCCTGTCCCGGGGCGGGTGCAGGCGGCGGAGGGAAAGGGGGAGACCTTTGTCTGCCGCCGGCCGGCTGAGGCTGCGGGGTGCAGGGCTGGGGTTGGTGCCCTGAGCCAGGCTGTGGCCAGCTGCCCGCGGGCCCGATGCTTAGGCGCCCAGAGAGGCCCGGGGGACGCCGCCTGCGTTTTGGGGGCGCTGTAAGCTCGGGCTGTCTTTGTTGCGCCCCCTCCTCCCCTGTGCGGGCAGGCCCCGGGCGTTCAGGAAAAGGAACGTAAACACCCAGCCGCCCGCCCGCCCGCCCTTTGTCGTAACAGAGGCAACTCATTGAACACGTGCGAGCCGGTCCTAGTGTCTTTAGAACGTTTTCGGCATTATTCTCTAACTCCCTCAAGTTCTTCTTCCTGGAAGTAATTAATGTGGGAAAATACGGAACATTGATAGCATTGGGAGAGGCAACTGTTAGGAACTACCAATGTGATGCTTAATGTGAGTTGCCTTGAGAAAAGTGTAATGTTCAGTTACTTTGGACCCACAATTTAAAAAAAAAATATGTACAGTGGTTATTAATTGAGCCCTGCTCCTCCCTCCCCTCTCCCCTATTAGGTATTTACTACCTAATTAGGGACTTTTTTTTTTTCTCCCTTCAAAAATTGGCCTTGGAATCTATCGAATAAAATTACATTTAAAAATTAGTTATTTGAAGAAAGAAATTGGTAGCCTCCAGAATCTTACCTGGCTATTCAACTGGCTTTTTTTTTTTTTAACTCTCTTAACTGAAAGGATAGATGTATTTAATATGCTGTCAAAGTATTGGCAGAATTCCGCTATATAATTTTTCCACCACCCCTTCAGTAGGGATAATTAGCTTTAGTATGAATATTGTTTTTGTTTTAGCATGTTTTTAGGGGGAATAGTAGTGATATAAAAATTATCTTTACTAATTGGTATTAAAATTATTGTGGTCTCCTTATAGATGGCAGAATAATAATTCTTTATAATGTCTTCATAATTTGTCTCAGGTGTGCTTTCCTTTACAAAAAAAAAAATAGTGCTGTTGCACATATCCTTTTTTTTTTTTTTTTAAGAGAAGGTACCATTTTGTTTATTTAATTGTGAAGGTTTTGTTGTTTTAAGGGAGAGAGAAACATCTATTCTTTGCCTCCCTGGAATCAGCCATGTGAGGAAATGGCCTAATAGACATAGTATGCTTTAATCTTTAGTGTGCATCTGAGATGTAGGTGATGTTAATAGTATGCTTCTTCAGATGACAAAAATACAGACGTGAATATAATTGAGCTGCTGCCAGTTGACTATTACTTAATGATAGTTTTCCCAGCTCTCCTTTTCATGCTACTGTTTTCTGGAGCAGTCTCTAGAAATCTTCTCTATAGCATGATGCAATTGGACAGGTACTGTTGTGTTCCATGTATTAGCACATTAGTAGTTCAGCTAGTTATCATGCAATGTTACTAATATTATAGTAAGAATTATATTTTCACTTCTCACTATTTATGCTTTAGTTTTTTAAGATTATTTTTTGTTTCAAAAATATTTTCTGGATAACAGGAGACCTAGAATTAGGTAAAGATGGGTTTTAAAAGAACAGGAAATCTTGACTAATTATAATCCTTGAGTCACAATTCGAAGAGCAGTTATACTACAATTAAGACTAAATGTTCTTTGCACTTTTATTTTAATTTATTTTCAGAATATAGATTCCAATTTGAAGAGTTTTCAATTTTAGCTGATAACAAAGAAATTATCACTGTTTGGGCTCACTGTAAATATTAGACATCACTGAAACCAGAAATGGATAGGGGCGTGCCCTTGGGGTGGGAGTCTCTGGAGGAGTCAGTCGGAAGGAGGAAAAGGAGATGTAATACTTTAAACAATTAAAAAAAACTATAAATAGAAAGCCCAATAAAATTTAGCATAAACTATTTTAGTTACAAACTTAGATTTTGAAAAAAATTTACATAATACTTTTATTTTTTATTTATTTTAAATTTAAATTTATTGGGGTGACATTGGTCAACATGAACAGATAGAGTTCAGGTGTGAGTTCTGTGTTACAAGATCTGTATATTGTACCATATGCCACCACCCAAAGTCAAATCTCCTGTCACCATAAACTGGGACCCCTTTTTCCATCCTCCCCCCCCCTTCCCTCTGGCAACCACTACATACATAATACTTTTTAAAAAGAAATTCTAAATTGAGTTCTGCATTTTAGCTATTGAATAGTAATCTTTCTTCAGTTACTATTGTAATTTCATATCTGAGTAAGTAAATGGCACTTCCTGGGGAAATCCCAAAACCTCATGCTTAATTTCTTTCCTACATTGTCATTACAACTCTCACCTCTTGTCCAAAGGAAATTAGAGTTCTTTTTCCTCTCAACAAAATCAGATGTTCTGTTTTAAGTGCTTATTAACTAGAGACTCTACAATTCCAAACTATATCGATTGAGATATATAGCTTCCCCTTTTTTAGTTACTTATCAGTCTATGTTTACTTTCCTTCCCCTGCATTCAAGCTTTTTGTCATTTCTTAACCATCGTTAGGGCTGTCCCTTAGAGCAGTGGTCGGCAAACTCATTAGTCAACAGAGCCAAATATCAACAGTACGACGATTGGTATTTCTTTTGAGAGCAGAAAACTGACTTCTGTGCATGGGCTATGAAGTTTCAATCGCACTGTACGTGCGGGCGCACGTGGTATTTTGTGGAAGAGCCAGGCTCAAGGGGCCAAAGAGCCGCATGTGGCTCTCGAGTTGCAGTTTGCCGACCACTGCCTTAGATCATCTTCTCTTTCTCCATAAATAAATCATCCACTGTAGCAGAACACATCCCATAGAGTGAATTGGTAAACTGGGGAAATAAAATACGAATTTTAATAATAGTCAAACCTGTCTTATCTCCCAATATGTTCTTAAATAGCCTTGTATAACATACCTGAGATATTCAAGATGTGAACTAATTTATTTCATCATTTACTAATGAAAACACTAGCAAAATTACTGAAAAACGTCTTGTATGAATGCCTTTTGCTGTTTGAAATTATGATTAGCTCATCTGTCTTTCATGATTAAAAATAATGTATAAACCTAAGTATGATTGTTAAAAGCCCTTAAGGGTAACTTAAAACCATGATTTCAGAGTAGAAGTACTCAAAAGGTGATAATCTTATAGTCTTCTTTAAAGTTCCTTTACAAGTAAAGATTGTGTGAGATGTACATGAGGAACACATCACTCAAGAAAGTTATTCCAGGCTTTAATAATATTGTAGTTCAGGTAATGTTTATAACTAGGTACTTGTAAAACTAATAGTGCATTATTGAAGAATATTGGAACTTATTAGTCATGTATTATTCTATGATATGACTAATTGCTCACAAACTAGTTTGTGTAAAACAATTTACAGATCTTAATTTCTAAACAAAATCTCACAAATAACCAGATTATTGAACAACTTGCAATGTTTAGTTGAAGGGTCTTTACTTTCTGTGAACTCTATGTTTATAATTTTAAATTGCTCTGTATTTTATGCTAGTTAATTCATGGGAGCTTCTTCTACTGCCACAATCTCAGTTCCTGTTATATACTCTAACAAACAGTGGAAGAGACTGTTGGGTCAGTAGGTGACAACTGCAGAGGTATCTTCCTTATAACGATGCTTTTTGAGGTTGCTGCTCCCGTCAGTCTGCTCAGTAAAAATAGCTCATCTTGGTAAGTTGTTTCGACTTCACCAGGACCTGAAGAAGAAGCAGAAAAACCTGTGAAAACTAAGACTGTTTCTTCCAGTAATGGAGGGGAAAGTTCCAGTCGCAGCGCTGAGAAGCGATCAGCTGAAGAAGAAGCTGCAGACCTCCCAACAAAGCCTACAAAGATCTCCAAGTTTGGATTTGCCATAGGTAGTCAGACGACAAAGAAAGCCTCAGCCATATCCATCAAACTTGGATCGAATGTGAGTTATTTTATATATATGATACTCGTAATGGGTCTTAAGAATTTGTTTTGGAAACTGTTTTCACTGAGTTAGGTAAATTAAGTATAAAAATGTACATGTAGGTATTTAAGGAGTTATTAGCTCCATGTCTAAGAAAAACCTGGATGAATTAACTATATCTTAATAAAGCTTTTTTTTTTATACAGGCCTTAATAAAGCTTTTTTTTTTTTTATATACAGGCCTTAATAAAGCTTTTTTTTTTTTTTTTTAAGGTTAGGAATATAAGAAAAATATAAGAAACTACAACTAATAGCTTAGAATTTTCCTAAGTTGAGCAAAACCAACTTTTTTCAGAAAGGATTTTTTCAGAAAGAATTTCAGCTTATTTTTTATTTCTTTCTATTCTAGCAATATTAAAAATAATATCTCTAGAAATCATTTTATCTTAAAAGGTTAATATTAGCAAAATATTCCTTGATAAGAAGAGCTTCCTAATTATCTTATTTTGGAGCTACAAAAGGACCTTAATGATATCCCATTCCTTGATATCCTGATAACAATAGTTCCTTTTTTTTTTTTTTTTTAATATATTTTATTAAAAAAGAAGGTATAGGGATAGAAAGCTATAAACATTGATGAGAGAGAAACATTGATCAGCTGCCTCCTGCACACCCCGCACTGGGGATGTGCCCGCAACCAATGTACATGCCCTTGACCGGATCTAACCTGAGACCCTTGAGTCTGCAGGCTGATGCTCTATCCTTTGAGCCAAATTGGTTTCGGCCTGTGACAGTAGTTCCTTACAAATAAACTTTTGATTCCTTGTGGAATTTTTTGCACATGTGTGGTTTTTTTAAAATATATTTTTATTTCCAAGAGAGGAAGGGAGAAGGAGATAGAAACATCAGTGATGTTGAAAAGAAAAAAGAAACAAACACGAGTGATGAGAGTGAATCACTGATTGACTGCCTCCTGCACACCCCCACACTGGGGATCGAGCTTGCAACCTGGGCATGTGCCCTGACTGGGAATCGAACCATGACCTCCAGGTTCATAGGTCATTGCTTAACCACTGAGGCAAGCTGGCAGGGCTTGAGCCCTTATTTTAATATTTAAACCATAAATCAGTACTTAGAACTATGGAGTATCTGGAAAGTATTTGAAATATTAGATTGAAGCATATGAGGTTTAGAGATTTGACTATATTTTATATGGTTTATCCAAACAGATCTCTTCTTTAAGAAGAAAAGTTACTTATATGTTTTATTGCTATTAGCTTTAGAAAATAGTTACATTCTGTGTAAGGAGAAAAATCCTAAAATTGCTTTTTTAATTGTTTGTCTTTTCTGTGAAAATTAATGCTCAGTTGCTAAATCATATAGCTTTTTTCTGCATTAGATGTTCATTCAAAGATCTTTAAATCTGATATAGATTAAGTTTCTACTATATTAAGTTTGAGATGAACGGAGTTGACCGGGGGAGAATAGAGAAGGAAAGACACTAAGGATAGAATTTAGGTTTCCTGTCATTTTAGGGGAGGGAGGAGGGAGGAAAGAGTAAAAAGTTAGAGAATTCGGAAAATCGCCAATTAAAAAAAGTGTCACAGAAGCCAAGGTAGGGGTGTTTTGTTTTATTTTTAAATGTATTTTTATTTATTTCAGAGAAGAAAGAGGGGAAAGAGAGAGAACCGTCAGCGATGAGAGAGTGTCATTGATCGGCTGCCTCCTGCACACCCATATTGGGGATCAAGCCTGAAATCTGGGCATGTGCCCTGATGGGAAATCGAACCTTGACCTCCTAGTTCGTAGGTCGATGCTGAACCACTGAGAAACACCAGCCGGGCAAGGTAGGGGTGTTTTTAAAAAGGAACTGGTGCCGGGCTGGCCAGCGTGGGTCAGTAGTTAAGTGTTGACCTATGAGCCAGGTGGTCACAGCTCGATTCCCAGTCGGGCACATGTTCAGGTTGTAGGCTCGACCCCCAGTGTGGGGCGTGCAGGAGCCAGCCAACCAGTGATTCCCTCTCATCATTGATGTTTTTCTCTCTCTCCTTCTTTCTTCTTCTTTGAAATCAATAAAATCTATTTTAAAATAAAATGCAAAAAAGGAGCTGGTGATTAGAGTCAAAAGTAGCACACTTATGGTTGGTGATTTATATAGTCAGGGTCACCGAATTCTAGTTGAGTGCGGAATCACGGAAAATGGTAAGGGAGGAAGCCAAATTGCAGTGGGTTGAAGACTGAATGGGTGGTGAGAGGATTGGGGATACTGAGAACAATTTACTTTAAACAGAAGAGATGCTATGAATGAAGCATGCTTATAGGACAGGAAGTTACCTAGTAGAAAGACAATTCTTGGTGTCTTTTATGTTTCCAAGAATACACTGTATTTAATTTTAATGTTACAATGGGAAAGTATTACTGATAATTTTCTCTTACCTGTCCCAGGTGCCCCTTAGCTAAATGATACTAAATTGTAGGTCTAACTAGGAAATCGTTTATAAGAGGGAAAAAATGGATAGTAAAGTAAAAAGTAAAAAGCTACCCATTGATAACCCACATTTTCAAAAAGAAAGAATGGATTTGTCCAAAGTTTTTTCTGAGTTTCTTATTATTTCTATTAAAACATAAAGTTTAATATTTGATGACAAACTATATCATTATACAACCCTGTATAAATGTTATGTCATACTCTTTAATATGGGTTGTTTTTTTTTTTTCAGAAACCTAAAGAAACTGTTCCAACTCTTGCTCCAAAAACCCTTTCAGTAGCAGCAGCTTTTAATGAAGATGAAGATGTAAGTTGACACCCAGTTTTGTTTATTTTACTTTAACCAGTTCTTTAAGAAAGATGTTAGTGACAGATTATAGGTTGTATTAATGGTACTAGTGAATTTCCTTTGCAAGTCTGATCAGTTTCTGTGTGTGAGACAAATGCAAGATCTTGATGTTTCTATTATATTTGATTGCAGGGTTATTTAAAATATTATTAACTCTGGAGGGAAAGGAACTTCATCATCAATAAATGCTTATTATGAACTAGAGGCCCAGTGCACGAAATTTGTGGGTGGGGGCCAGTCCCTCAGTCTGGCCTGCACCCTCTTGCAATCTGGGACCCTTCTCTCCTAACTGCCTGACTGCTTGCTCCTTCCCACTTGGCTCCCCATTCCTTAGCGCTCCCACAGAGGCAGCCGCTGCCATGAGCCCAGCCTCTGGCTGAGTGGTGCTCCTGCTGTGGGAGCACACTGACCACCAGGGGGCAGCTCCTGTGTTGAATGTCTGCTCCCTGGTGGTCAGTGCTCATCATAGTGACTGGTTGTTCCACCGAAAGAGTTACTGGGCTTTATATAGATAGATAATATACGTATGTACTAGGAAGTATGTAGTATCCAAAAACAAATTGAATATGCTGCCTTTAATAATTTTTATAGCTAAAGTCTTCAGTGATTTTAATAGTTTATTTTTTATATATTTTGATGAGAGAGACATCGATGAGAATCATCAATCAGCTGCCTCTTGCACACACCCCACTGGGGACGTGCCCGCATCCAAGGCACATGCCCTTGACCGGAATCGAACCTGGGACCTTTCAGTCTGCAAGTTGACTCTATCCATTGAGCCAAACCGGTTTCGGCAATGATGAGACATTTTAATAATACAGGTGATTCTCCATTTATCCCCATGAGGCAGCTATAGTGTCTTCTCCTTTTGTTCCTATGAGGAATAACAAATAGTGCAGGTGATTCTGCCAGAAGTTTCAATAAACTCATATTCCAGAGTAAGCATAAGATGCTTACCTGCTGTCTTAGGCAATCCTACTTCCTTCATGCCCCTCATAGGGTCCCTCTCTTACCATGCTTGTGAATGACTGGAATTTTAAGCATAATTTTGACTTTTCCTTATACTCTGATTCTAGAATCTAATCCTCATTTTAAGATGTGACCCCATTGAAAAACAATTAAGCATTACTAGATACATGAGTGAGTAATTGCTCCCAAAAGGAATTCAGCCGAAACCGGTTTGGCTCAGTGGATAGAGCATCAGCCTGCAGACTCAAGGGTCCCGGGTTCGATTCCGGTCAAGAGCATGTACTTTGGTTGCGGGCATATCCCCAGTAGGGGGCGTTCAAGAAGCAGCTGATGGATGACTCTCTCATCAATGATTCTAACTATCTCTCTCCCTTCCTTTCTGTAAAAAATCAATAAAATATATATTTTTTAAAAAAAAGAATTGCACAAACACTGGGGTAGGAGTGATTGGGAAGACTATATAAGAGAAGAAATATGAGTTGGGTATTGAAACATTAGGTAGGGTTTTGACAAACCAAAGAATACTTTTATAAGCTAAGACGTCAATTTTCAAATCACAGTGATAAATAATACTAAGCAGCTCAATTTTCAGCTGTGCTGGAGATTTTTGAGAGGAGTTTTGGACAAGGATAAATGTGAAATGCTCAGATCCCAGGTCAGTAGGTAAAGAATAACTAGTCATCTCTGTATTCTTCTTTGGACCTTTATTCATTCTATGATTTGAGTGCTTTCTATGTGCTAAGCACAGGAGATTGCAAAGATAAATCAGACCTGTTTCTCTAGTCTTTTAGAGCAGAGACTTATACATAAAATAGCTCAAAATAAAAATCAAAAGTACTTGGAGATGAAGTGATGTGGAATTCAGGGAAAGAAAGAGGCTGGTAACTAGATGCCTGAAAAGACCACTAGACTGGATTTTTTTTACTGTTTGTCCAGTTGTTAACTAGTAGAAAGCCTGTGTTTTTGTGGGGGGTTTTAAATTTCTTTATTGATTAAGGCATTACACATGTGTCCTTTTTCCCTCATTGTCATCATCATCCGTCTGCTCCCCCTCTTTACCCCCCACCTTGTTGTCTGTGTTCCTTGGTTAGGTTCATATGCATGTATAGAAGTCCTTTGGTTAATCTCTCCCCCTTATCCCCACTCTCCCCTGCCTTCCTTCTAAGGTTTGACAGTCTGATCAATGCTTCTCTGTCTCTGGATCTGTTTTTGTTCATCAGTTTATGTTGTTCATTATATTTCATAAATGAGCGAGATCATGTGGTATTTATCTTTCTCTGACTGGCTTATTTTGCTTAACATAATGGTCTCCAGTTCCATCCATGCTGTTACAAACAGTAAGAATTTCTTCTTTTTTTTACAGCAGTGTAGTATACCATTGTGTAGATGTACCACAGTTTTTTAATCCACTCATCTGCTGGTGAGCACTTAGACTGTTTCCAAATCTTAGCTATGGTGAATTGTGCCACTATGAACATAGAGGTGCATATATCCTTTCTGATTGGTGTTTCTATTTTCTTGGGATATATTCCTAGAAGTGGGATTACTGGGCCAAATGGGAGTTCCATTTTTAGTTTTTTGAAAAAGTGTTACGCCCAGACTTCGTGATCCCCAAGGACCACCAGGGAGCCGAGTCCGATGCAATAAACAAAAGAGCCTTTACCATGCTAGCATGGGCCCCCCACTCACGCCGGCAGCATGGCGGAAGAGAGCGAGCTTCTTCCAGTCCAGGGGTTTTACTCAGGTCGATGGTGATGTCACTGCCTCGGCTAATTGATTGGTTGGGTGAGGGCTAGGGATAACTCCACCCTGCAGGGCGGAGTCGGGAGCTCATCCTCGCCCCGCCCTGCCCTCTCAAAAGCTCCATACTGTTCTCCACATCTCGCCAGCACATGTTGTCTGTTTTGCTGATAATAGCCATTCCGACAGGTGTGAGGTGGTACCACATTGTCCTTTTGATTTGTATCTCTCAGATGATAAGTGACTTTGAGCATGTTTTCATACATCTTAGCCTCCTTCTGCCTTCTTTCAAAAAGTATGTATTTAGGTCCATTGCCCATTTTTTGATTGGGTTGTTTATCTTTCTTTTGTTAAGTTGTATGCCGAAACCGGTTTGGCTCAGTGATAGAGTGTTGGTCTCCGGACTGAAAGGTCCTGGGTTCAATTCCGGTCAAGGGCATGTACATTGGTTGCGGGCACGTCCCCAGTAGGTGGTGTGCAGGAGGCAGCTGGTCGATGTTTCTCTCTCATCAATGTCTCTAGCTCTCTATCTCTCTCCCTTCCTCTCTGTAAAAAAATCAATAATATATATATATATATTTTTTTTTTAAAGTTGTTTGAGTTCCCTGTAAATGTTGGAGATTAAACCCTTATCAGTGATAACATTGGCAAATATGTTCCCCCAAGCACTGAGCTTTCTTGTTGTTTTGTTGATGGTTTCTTTTGCTGTGTTTTATTTTGATGTAGCCCCATTTGTTTATTTTCTGCTTAATTTCCATTGCCCTAGGAGCAGTATCAGTGAAGAAATTGATTCTGCATATGTCTGAGATTTCCCTGCCTGTGGATTTCTCTAGTATTTTTATGGATTCCCGTTTTATGTTTAAGTCCTTTATCCATTTTGAGTTTATTTTTGTATATAGTGTCAGTTGGTGGTCTAGTTGCACTTTTTTGCATGTATTTGTCCAATTTTCCCAACACCATTTATTGAAGAGACTGTCTTGACTCCATTGTATGTTCATGTCTCCTTTGTCAAATATTAATTGAGCATAGTTGTTTGGGTCAATTTCTGTGTTCTCTATTCTATTCCATTGTCTATATGTCTGTTCTTGTGCCAGTATCAGTCTGTTTTGAGAACAGTGGCTTTGTAATACAGCTCAAAATCTGGTATTGAGATCCCTCCTACTTTGTTCTTTCAAGAGCTACTGTGCTGGAAGGTGATAATGCCTAACAAGCAGCAATCTGGTCTCCTGCCCTGTTTACTTACAACAATTCTTTTGTTGTTTTTTTCCCCCAGCATTTTTTAAAATTTCTTATTAAGTTATTACCTATGTATCCTTATTCCCCCATTACCCCCCCAGCCACCCCCCACTCATGCCCACACTCCTTTGTTGTCTGTGTCCATTTACTTATAGCAATTCTTGTATCTATTTGGTAATTGGGAACCCAAGTGATATTTTGTTGAAGAAAAAATGTATTTCATTGCCCCATTCTCCCCAGGAATGTTTAAAAAGTACTAACATAATATTTACTGTTTTCTGTCATTTTGACATTCTTAACAGATTGTATGAGGACAATATAGGAAGAAGGAAACAGCATGTGTAAAAGTGGAGAGGCTGGCAATTATAAGCAGTACATAGTAGTAATTGCTTTCTTTGTTTTGGGAGATTTTTTTTTAAATATATTTTTTATTGCTTTTACACAGAGAGGAATTGAGAGAGATAATTAGAAACGTCGATGAGAGAGAAACATCGACCAGCTGCCTCCTGCCCACCCCCGACTGGGGATGTGCCCACAACCAATGTACATTCCCTTGACCGGAATCGAACCCGGGACCCTTCAATCCGCAGGCCGACGCTCTATCCACTGAGCCAAACCGGTTTCGGCTGGGAGATTTTTTTTGTTTATTTCTTATTTTTGTTGATTTTAGAAAGGAAGGGAGAGATAGAAACATCAATGATGAGAGAATCATTGATTGGCTGGCTGCCTCTTGCACGTCCCCTACTGGGGATTGAGCCAGCAACCAGGGCATGTGCCCTCTATCAGAATCAAACCCAGGACCCTTCAGTCCACAGGCCCATGCTCTATCCATTGAAGGCAATAATTGCTTATAAAGAAATTTTGGACAGGTTCAGGCAACACTTTTTCTCTGCTATATATGGTAATGATAGGAAGAGATAAACTTGTCCCTTAGATAAAAGAATGCATTGTGCCCTAACCAGTTTGGCTGATTGGATAGAGTGTCCGCCTGGGGACTAAAGAGTTACAGGTTC